TCTCTCTCTTTTATAGTTCTCTCTATCTCTCTCTTTTATTTATAATTCTATCTGTCTCTCTCTATCTCTCTTTTATAATTCTATCTACCTATCTCTCTCTCTCTCTTTTATCATCCACTCTATCTCTCTCTCTTATTATTCTCTCTGACTCTCTTTCTCTCTATTTTGCAATACTCGCTGTTTTGGGACCATTCTTTCTCTTTAGTCTTTGGTCTTCCATCCATTTCCTTTAACTCGACAAGTAGGTTACGCACCGCTCTCCTCAGTCTTCGATATACCTAATGATTGTTAAATTCATCAATTTCAAGAAAACACCAAAGCTCATTATGTAACAAGATACGTGAACCATAGCCTCATCTTTCACTGACGTTATTGATAACCAGCTGAAACCCATGGTATTCTCAGCATGTTTCTGTAGGACCACATATATGTTGCCTCAAGGTTCTCCTTCGTTTTTGAGGAGGTTGTCGAGTATTCACTGTCATTCGGGAGGCGTGTTATTACATAGCAGTGTAGTTCACTTTCTAACAGCATTTTCATCTTTCTTAATACTGTAATTATATTTTGGAAGACATCTTTTTCTATTACAATACATCTTCTGATTTCGGTGTCATATATTCCGTCTTCTATCAGAAAACTTCCCGGATATTTAAATTTTCGGGCTTTCTTGATTTCTTCACCACTAATTCACAATTCACATCAATGTTTTCTCTTGCTGGTAAGCATAGATTTTGCCTTCTTACAATTGAAGCTTAGTCCTTTCTTCACGCTTTCTTTTACTACCTTCTGTAGGACATTCCTTTCTGTGTTTCCTATAAACGCTGTATCATCTGAGTATCTAATTTTGTTAAGATTGTGCCCACTAATAATAAATCATTTCTTTCAGGATTGCCTCGCTGTAAAGGTTAAATGAATCCGATGAGAAGACACATCCTTGTTTTATGCCCTTTACTCTTTTTGTGTTTTTATTCAATTCATTTGACTATTAAATTAAAAGAAGGAAATGTACGGGGTTTAAATTTAGATAGGGTTGGAAATTGTGGGGGTTTATAGTCATATGTATAAGTCATAAAAATAATGGAGAAAAATTACTAGACTGAAAATTCAAAAGAAAAGGGTGGGGGTAAAAAAACTGGGATCTCAAGGGGAGAAATATGACCTGAGATACAGAGAATCAATAATCAAAGTTTAAGAAAAGAGTCCATTGAGTTCATATAATGAAAACGAATTATATATATATATATATATATATATATATATATAAAGTGTGGGAGAGAGAGAGAAAGAGAAAGAGAGACCGAGAGAGGGAGAATGTAGATGAGTGAAAGCATTTGCAAGAGAAAGAATAGTAGAAAAGAGACAAGCGACAAATTTAAACCGGGTGACAGTTACTTCTTATACATAAAATACTGTCACGTAATTTTAAGCACCAGCCCCACCAATGTATTCTGATATCATGGTCAACGAAAAGCCCAGTGGGGGATTGAGCTTTGACACCTGAGACTGTTGTGGAATTTGCAATTTTAGCACTTAATATTTTTGGACACACTTTGTAAGATTACCTTTGCTGAATTCTTGGCTTTCGTCCAAACTTAGAAACTAAACATCTTTTTTTTTCTTTATTTCATTTTTCTTTTCTTTTTATTTCTTTTACTCATTTCACCTTAAGCAAGGCGATAATGCCACTAAAACGCAAAAGGCTACTGAGAGTGATAAATTTAAGAAGCAACCTGAAACCCAATCCTAAACAGGAAACAAGGTATATAGATTCTACTGCTACTGCTGCATTTATTTCGCTTATTCATAAACAGATATTTTATTTGATTTTAGGTACTACTTCAACTAAATGGTTCGGGGGCAAGATTTCGAAAAATAATTTATCAGAATCGAAAAATACAGTGTAACCCGGATATAAGAGACCCGATATAAGAGAAACCCGGATATAAGAGAGATTTTCTCTGGTCCCAAATTAGAGCCTGTGCTAATGTATATAAAATAGACCAAATCCGGATATAAGAGAAACCCGGATATAAGATACTTCTTCTCCGGTCCCGACTGCTCTCTTATATCCGGGTTACACTGTAATTACTTTTTGCAGATTAAGAAGTAGAGTCCTTTTTCATAATATAAGTAAAGTGTCAAATCCATCCCTGGATTCTTAAACCGCTTTTATTTATCTCACTCAGAGGCGGGAAGTAGAGCAAGCCTCTCACTGCTCTATCGCCACTTCCATAAAAACTGCCCGGACGAACACAAGATCCTTGGTTCTGCTAATCATAACCTTCATGGCTAGAAACCGCTCACCACAATCTTAACCTATTCAAGCCTAGAGTTAACCGATATCTTCTCCTATACGTATAAACTGCCTCAACGTAACCGTCTACCTCGAGTGGCCTCCGGTCTTGAATATCACGGTAAAATAAAGTAACACCCAACCATAATAATATTTCATATATTTCCTCTACCAAAAGACTTTAGTTATGAAGTTTTGGACGCCATATTTGTTTCATAAAGCCTGTGCTTCATGCAACTGGGTCATGGGATACAAACAAACATGTTTCTTTCTTTTCAATAAAGGGTAAAACATTAAAAATTATTATTATTATTAAAACTGATTGACAACGCATTCGGAGATGTTATCTCGGTTAACGTCATGAGACATATTCGCTTCGTCAAAAAAGATAAATACTGCAGCTGGTTTTTCGTGCTTTAGGTCCGAACGCATATAATAATGATGCCTCCAATTTATTAAAAGGAGTAAGATTAATAAATATCCTGATACTTGTGGCTACAGAGGATGAGACATGGCAATTTCTTGGTGACTAAATATGTGACCTTGTGTCATATGTAGGCAGTGTGAATTTTAAAACATTCTTGACAGGTTTAAAAGGAAAAAGCAATTTCTGATGCAATATGAAGCAACATCCCGCTCTGAAAATGAAGTTTTGCATAAATGTTCGTAAAGAAAAGCCAGAGAGTGAAAGAGAAGAGAAAGAAAATATTTTAAAAAAAAAAAAAAGCGAATGTGGAAGAAGAAGATTAAAAGTAAAAAAAAAAAAAAAAAAAAAAGCAATGCTTGATACAATTAATATTTCTCAAAAAACTAACCATCCTGGTTTTAAAAGCTGCCAAATATTGATAAAAAAAAGAAACGGGAAAAAGCTAGAGAGAGATGCGTGTAAAGAAAGAAAGTGTAAGAAAGATTAAAGGAAATTTGTACGAGGAGTGAGTAGTAGAAAAAAAATGGTAAGAAAGCGTGGAGACGCGGGGAAAAGGAGAAAAACTGAGTAAAAAAAAATGTAGGTTATAATGGAAGATAAAGGCGCTGGGTAAAAAATAGAGAAATAAACAAAAGCTAAGAGAGAAATAGCACTACAGAAAGAGAAAGAAAGGGAGAGATAGAGAGGGAGGGAAAGATAGAGAGGGAGGGAGAGAGTTAGAAAAAGATATATCGATGCAGAAAGAGAAGGCAAATAGAAATGAGGGATGTAGTATGACTTAGAAAGAGAAGGACATATTTATGAGTGAGAAAGAGTAAAAGAGAGAAAGGAAAATTTGAAAAGACAAGAAAAACAAAAAGGAAACAATAGATAAAGAAGAAGAGGCAAATAATAAACTTCAATCTCCGACAAAAAAAAGACTACTCATTTTTTTCCTGCTTAATCATAGATGTTTCCTAGGCCACTGTGTCTAAGGCAGCATCCCTGAAAGAAAGGCTTCTAAAAAGAAAGGTTGCTCATATCATTATATTGTTATATTTAAGTCATATATATTCGTTATATGTAAGTCAATCATTTTCGTTACCTATATACCATTCAAGTTCGTTATATGTCTATTCATTATCTATAATCTAATCTTATTGGTTATCTGTAGACCAATCATATTCGCTATCTTTAGGTCAATCATATTCGTTATTTTTCAGCCAAACATCTGTACTTCATTTATATTGCGATTGCTATTTTAAAATTGACTTACGATTTGAGAAACATACGCAGGTTAGATAAGAAATAGGAAACATTAATCAATATGAAACATGAGTTCTATGAACGTAATCAATACAGTACTTCCCTGATTCTTAAGGGAACGTTCTTGTGATGAAATGTCAAAATACAATATCAAACTGATGAACACAATATGTCAAGCATTTCAACTCATCTCCTTTCTGACGTAATTTACTAACATATATTTCAAAAGTAAAAAGCAAACATTCTATTCCTCCTCCCGAGGCAAGTCTTATAGATTCATTGTTAAGCAGCGAAAAAAATTCGGAACCTCGTCTTCGTTGACGATATCTATAAAAGCAAATGATTTTGTTAAGTTCGCGCATGCGCGTTTACAAAGGTTTACGGATAAACGAAATACTCTCTCGGCTACACAGTTCTGAAATTCTTGTTTTTGTGCACACGTTTTGTTGGATGCTGTTCAGCAGTGTATGTACGTATTTCTACAATTAATATCGATCCCCCTCTATGGCAGCGAATGATGAGAATTTCCACTCAGATAAATGAAACTTTGAGGCAACAGACATGTGGCTCTACAGAAAGATGCTCAGGTTACCATAGATAGAACATGTGAGCAACCATGAATATTTTTGTATGTAGCGGGGGGACAAAAAGGACATTTATATTTACAGAAAGAGACAGTTGAAATTTTTTTGACAAATAATGAGAAAAGATTGCTCGGAGAATTTAACACTCACAGGACATTAAAAGAAAGAGAGGCAGAGGGAAACAGTGAACAAGCTACGGAAAGAGCTTGTGTAAATAGATGAGAGAACAAGGAGTGGGAAGGAGAGCAAAACAATATTACTAAGAACTACAAAGAATATGATGTTGTGGAGAGCTGTGAACGGCACACGTCATGCAGGGACATGGCACATAAAAGAAGATGAATTCGCCAAAACAAGTTGACCTCAAATTTAAATTATTCGCCAGTGTGGCTTATGGGATCCTTTGTGAAATCTCTGAGTATTCAGGGGAGATAAGTGCTGCCATCGTAACATGCCCGATATTCTGTGAGATACCTGGTGATAGAATAAAGCGTGGAAGGAAGCAGACTCGAACTCTTCTAAAAGGGAATAATTGCAATGGATCATGTGTTATTTCTGCAGAAATTCCAGGCTGAATTGATAATGGCTGACATTACACTTACCAGCAATAAATGAAAGCAAATGACGGATGTTTTAATGTCATATCTGTCCAGTTTGTAAATGATCACAACTCTCTACAAATCCCTTTTTGTAATTATCTTTGAATTCTTGGAAAATATAGTGGAGTGGTTTACCGCTGATATCTCTACTGTTTTGAATTCAGATTTGTCCTTCTCCGAAAATGGTTAACACATTTATGTTAGAAAGCTCAATCTATCCTGCTAATCCATCCATTGTCGGATGGCACTGAAGGGACGGACTTGGCCTAAAGTTGAAATCGCTGATTTCTCTTTACGTGCTGGTAGTCGTTACGCTACAAGCACGTCATAATGATGGATAAGGATTTGAAGAAAAAAGTTAGACAAAAAAAGATGAATTGTATTTAACACCAAAATATTGTATAGGCTATTTGCGAATTAAAATTTAAAAAAAAAAGAAAATTTTACTTTTAAGAATGTTTAAGATAATCTTAATAAGAGATATCCCTTAGTAAGAAAACCAGTTAAAACGAAATAGGTTCAAGTAATGGGCGTAAGAATATAAAGGACTTAAAGCTACACAAAATGAATAAGAATGTGTCCTGAGAGACCCAGCTGAAGACTGGGGTGACTTTCTGGTCACTTGATAGGATCAGACGATAACCATAATCTAGAATGCCAATCAAACTGTCGACTTCCTTCCAACCATTTTTACAAGGTTGTTGAGATTTCTTTTCGCTCTTTCTGTGTGACGTCATCCGTAACAGGCAACGGGTCATTCGCCGTTGGCAGATAGATTTTTTTTTTGTTCTGATCCGTTGGTTTTAAGCACAAATCCAGTATTTAACCCATAAACCAGGAATAAATAAAAGGAAATATTGGGCCTTAAAACACTGATACAGATGCTATGTATCATCTTACCAGAGACGAGAGATTCTTTTTCCAAAGTTTATTGTTTTTTATGCCTTCCCTTGAATTAGTATTTCCTAAGAACAAATTCTTACGACTAAATACGTATTTACTACATTTAGACTAGGCTATCACAAGAAGGGATTTAACATTACATATATATATATATATATTAATGTATATTTGGACAGAAAAAATTTCATTAAACATTTTCATTAAATATGACAGACAAAGAAGATTTGATTAATTTTTATTTAGGTTTTTCCAACATGCTTATGTTTTCCCGTTTTGTAGCAGTAAGGAAGTACAGACATTTTCCATATTTTTCATTGTCCCAATCGCTTTCAACCAATCTTTAGTCATTTTCAAGGGACTTTTGTTTTAGGTATTGCTAGTTTTTCCTCGTGTTTTGACTGTTTAAGACGTATTTTATTTTTGTGTTGTTTTGATTAGGAGCCTTTATTCATAGCTTTAACGTATTAAGCCCTGTTTGAATTCGCGTGAGCATCTTTCTATTACAAAAAGAATTTTAACACTCCATTTCCACTGTTAAATAAAGTGATGTTGATAGTAGGATATATATATATATATATATATATATATATATATATATATATATATATAGAGAGAGAGAGAGAGAGAGAGATACATACAAATATAGATAACTATACGCGTTTCGAAAAAAAACCTCGAATTTTTGATTTGCCAATAATCAAATCAATCTCGAGGGAAAAAAAGGTTTTAAAAAAAAGAAAGAGCTACAAACATGAAAGTCTGTCGAAAAAAATCGCGCTGATGCAGGTTTGAAGCCCAAATAAAAAACCCCGATACGAGTAAACAACTCACTAACAAAAGAGCTCAATACAACCGTAGAGCAGACCTAGATACACCTAGTGAGCCAGATTTTGTTTAGTTTCACCTAAACGGATCGTCAGGGAAAATTGGCCTATTTTCCCTGACGATCCGTTTAGGTGAAACCTAGGTAGGTTTGTCTGGCTCACTAGGTTTATCTATATAGATAGATAGATAATATTAGTGGTCAATATATATATATATATACATATATATATATATATATCCTACTATCAACATCATATATATATATCCTACATCAACATCAATATATATATATATTTCCAAGAGGATAGATTGCAGGTGGTGAAATAATAATGATTTACTGATATGCGCTCTACCAATTAACTCGTAGCTGGGGAGAGAAGGGTATTTGTGCAAGTCAATATAAAGAAGCTGAACTTGAACTCGGTGATCACCTACCTACAACCAGGCTTGACGTTGCTTAACTTCGTTGATCACACGAAAAGCAGACTTTCAATATGATATAACCGTAAGCCACGAGGAACACGAATTTAAGTATCGTAACAGACGATAGCGTCACACAAAGATCTGTAGGCGCATTGGAATAGCAAAAGATGTCTTCCAGAAAATAAGCACAGTATTAAGTAATAGGAAAATTGCCTTAAAACAAAGGTAATGATACTGAAATACTATGCAATAGCAACCCTGCTATATGCCAATGAATGCTTGACAGGTTCTTCTAAGACGAAAAGGGAACTTGTAGCAACATAGACTTGGTTTTACAGAAGGATACTGGGAATAACATAGACTGAGAATGTAAGCGACTTATGGAGTTTTAGCGAAAATGGAAACAAGAAGAACATTGTCACTTAGAGTTAGAAAGAAATAGTTGAAAGTTTCGATATACACAATGAAGAAAGAGGACTTGGAGAATTTAAAATTCACGGGTCCTATTGAATGCAAGAGGGTAGAGGGAACAGCCAATAACCTACTGAACGAACTTGTGTAAATGGCTGACAGTATAGGGATTGTAGGTTTCACGCCTTAAACGATTGTTAGACAATATTCCGCTTTGTGAAGAAAATGACTGTATGGATCATTGGGATTTATATGAAGACAAATGATTTTGCCGGATTTTTTGTTTAGGAATAATGATCTAGATTTCTAGATTACTTATAATCCTGAAAATGATTAATTTATTATTTATATTTATTATATTTTACTTGGCTGTTATCGTTATTATTAATATAATTGTTGTTGTCATTATTATGATTAATAATCATAATATTTTATACTTATTCATCTGTTTTATTTTTATATACTTTCTAAAATTTGTTATATGCATTAAAGAATGTTTATTAGCTTCAGCTTAAGGTACATTATATTTTTAGTCGTTGGAGTCAAGGTGTAGTTGTTGGTAGAAAATTACTAAAAAAATATAATTTCATGAACGTATGTGTCTGTGCGAGTTTAATATAATTTGCATGTACAAATATAAGAGTAGTCAAACGTGTATCATTAGATTTTGTGTTTTTATGTACTGTGCGCAAAATTACTCTAAAAAGAATCAGAAAAAGTAAAAAGTCTTGAAGAACGGTCGAAAAAGCCTTTAAAAGAAAAGAAAATCGAAAAAACTCTAAATATCAGGTCAAGCCATAAGTTCTGTCCGAATTTTATCTTTTTGTTAAAATGAACGAAATTTAAAGAGTATTTTATAATGTCTAATGGAGCTGAACATTATTTTTATGTTTAAATGCATTTGAACTGATCAAATTTTATTTCAGAGTACAATAAAATTAAATTTTGTTTGATTAAAAACCCTGCTAACATGGAAGTACCCAAGAATCATTTGAGGTACATAATGCTTTATGAGTTCAAGAAAGGAAACTCAGCAACCGAAGCGGCTAGAAATATCTACTCCGTTTATGGAGAGGAATGTGTGAATGAAAGAACTTGCAGAAGATGGTTTGCAAAATTCAGAGGTGGAGATTTCACCCTTGAAGATGAAGATCGAACCGGACGTCCAGTTGAGTTTGATGAAAAGCTTCTTGAAGCAGCTCTTGAAGAAAATCCTACTTTATCAGTTGAGGAATTGGCTGTGGTTCTCAGTTCAAACCATACAACTGTTCATCGTCATCTTCAACAACTTGGAAAAGTTCCTAAACTTGGAAAATGGGTGCCTCATGAAAACAACCTCAAATCCCGAGTTGATAGCCGCTCTTCTCTCCATTCCCGCCAACTTGTGACTTTCGACGAAAAATGGATCTTTTATCGAAATGTTAAGCGTCGTAGACAGTGGCTTGGTAAAGTGGGGGGGACCCAGCCACAGCCGAGAAAAGAACTTCATGGGAAAAATGTTCTTTCAATCTGGTGGGATCGCCAAGGAATTTACCACCTAATGCAACAATTAATGCTCAAATATAATGTCAGAAATTAGATCGTTTGAACCAAGCTTCGAGGGAAAAAAGACATGCTCTAGTGAATCGAAAAGGGGTGATGTTTTATCAGGACAATGCGCGACCCCACACAGCAAGAATCATGTGACAAAAGATCTTCGATCTTGGTTGGGAGAAAATTCCTCATCCACCTTGTTCTCCCGATCTTGCTCCTTCAGACTACCATTTGTTTCGTAGCTTACAGAATAATTTGGAAAAAACAGCTTTTGTGACACAGGAAGAGGTTAAAACTGACATTTGTGAGTTCTTCGAATCAAAGCCAAAAGAAGTTTACAGTAATGGAATTAGTAAGCTGGATGGAAGGAAGTCATAGATAATCATGGAAAATACATTGTTGATTGAATCTGTAATTAAATGTAACATTTGGTAACTTGTTTTCTTTATTCAAAATTCGGAGAGAACTTATGGGATGACCTGATAGAAAGAATTAAAATGGTCTTCTAGGTAAGCAGGTCTTTTTTACTAAGAAAACTGACGTAACATATTCTATCATTCTATTCGTTGCTTTCATCACTTAGTTTATTGCTATTGCATGTCTTGTTTAATAAATATTTGTCAAATAATTCAGTAGAGCGAAAAATAAAGAAAGTAAAAGATGTTTATTAAGTTTAGTGTAGCACAAGGGTGAAATTGTGGAGCGTCTTAAATACTGAACTTACTGCAAACTAATGTCCTGTCATTGAACCACTGAACGGAGCTAATAGGGATTGATTAAGTATTAAGAAACAAGATGTTGTTAGAAACAAAGTAAAAAGTACTGAACTGTTACATAATATCAATCCTTTTCTATGGCGGAGAATGACCGACAATTTACTCACAGACGAATAAGAGGCTTAAATCAAAAGAAATAATGTTCCACAGAAGGATGCTGGGAATACCATGGACCAAAAGAAAAATGATGCTTAAACTTAACATCAGGAAGAAGTATACAGAAAACGACTAGGACAGAAAAAACAAAGCATGATCTACTAAGCGAGCTTGTGTAAATGGATGACAGAACAGGGGTTATGAGAGATAACAAAAAGACGAAATTTATTCAGAGCTAGGAAAGACTGGAACCTGTGGAGAACCATGATCATCAAAATCCTTAAAAATGTAGCAACTATAAGGCACCTAGTGCGGATCATTCTACTTGCAGTCATTGTAACCCGAAGGATTTGCTCAATAACCACTGCTCTACGATGAATCTCTCAGAAGAACAAGAATGCAGACAATATTTCGACATATCTACTTAATATCGCATTTTCTTTATTTTAAATAAAGAAAATGCGATATCAAGTAGATATGTCGAAAATGCTGCTCTTTTTTTTTTTTGGAGGGAAAGAGATGAGAAATAAGTCTTTGAAAAGAAAGAAATGAATATAATAGAAGTTGTAAATAAGATGGCGAAGGAGGTAACGGTTTTGGTTCAAAGGAATTGCAAGATGTACATTGAGTTCAAGACAGAAAAAAACGGGAAAACTCGCAAGTAGACATTGACGAATGGAGACACAATATCGAGAGAAAGATTTGCAAAAACTGCAACTTTTGCCTATGGTAACTAAATACAGTAAACATTCAAAGACATACGAGCCGCGCCCTCAACAGAATTACAGATATAAAATTTACTTAAAAAAAAAAAAGCAACATAAAAATAAGTCCTACACTCTATTTTTCGGAGTAGTAGTTTTTCTCGCTCTCCTTCCCTACATTCTTTAGGAGGTTTTGTAAATTTTTTTTTACGTATCTGCTATCATCACTGTGTCATCTTTGTATCTTATGTTGTTAAGATTGTGGTCGCCAGTGATGAATCCCGGTAGGATTTCCAATTCTCTCAGAATTGCCTCGTTGTATAGATTGCATGGTCATCAATAAAAGGATGAGCCCTAAATGCGATTTACAGGTCGGGGACACTAAAATCAAGCAGGTGCGGAAATTGAAATATCTGAGAAGCGTTTTGACAGAGGACGCTAAGTGCGACACTGAGATCCGAAGCTGTATTGGCATGGCCAAAGACGCATTCCAAAAGCTAGGCAGAGTATTACGAGACAGGAGAATTTCTTTGGTAACGAAGCTAAGAGTACTGAGCTGCTATGTGACATCGGTCCTCCTTTACGGCAGCGAATGTTGGACGGTCACCTCAGAGATGAAGAAGAGACTCGAGGCAACGTTGGTATGGTTCTACAGAAGGATGCTAAGGATACCATGGACCGAGTGTGTGAGCAGCGATGACATTTTGGACAGGATGCAAACAAGGAGGAAGCTTATATTTAACATCAGAAAGAGGCAGATGAAATTTCTGGGGCACGTAATGAGAAAGGAGGGCTTGGAGAATCTGATACGCACAAGTCGAACAGAAGGGAAAAGGGACTAGGGAAAACAATGCATGACATAACTGGCGGGCTTGACAGAACATGGCTTGGGTGAGGTAGCAAAAGGACAAACCTTATTGAGAGCTACAAGTGATAGTGGGAGCGGAGAGCCATGATCGCCTACGTCCTGAAGGGACACGGCACATGAAAAGAAAGTTTAACATATTAAAAAAATCTGTTTTGTGTTCGTCACTCTACAGCTACTGGAAGGGTTTGGATTCCACAACTCAAACCGTTTAATTATGCAACAGTTAAAATAAATAAATAAAATTGTTTCCATTCGAACCCGGTTGTCATAACGCGTTTCAACCATAACACGCCCATCTAATCTGTAAAAAGGTTATCTCAAGTGAACAAATTGTTTTGTGAAGATAATAGACATTTACACAATTTCCATTTTGGTATGATATTGAAAATTTTTGTCCTATAGTAAAACTTTGAACCTGCCCATTCTCGGGGATAGTAATTTTCTAAGCGTAGATTTGATGCAATACAAAGCCGAAAGTATAGGGTACCCAGTGAGGTCGAACTAACTATCCAGTCTTAATTGATCAAGCTTGCTAACCATTACACCACATTCGGAGAAAACATGGATTGATTTTCTAAGCGTAGCTTTGATGCTGTACAAGGCCGAAAGTATGGGGTACCCAGTGAGGATCGAACTAACTATCAAGTCTTAATTGATCAAGCTTGCTAACCATTACACCACATTTGGAGAAAAAATGGACAATAATATTTTCTACGTGCCTTGTTCCTTTAGGACATTGGATCCATGGGTCTCCACAATTTCCTGTACTTTGTAGCTCTTAATAACTACTGTCATTTTGTAATCTCTCCTAAATACTGTTCTGCCATCGATATACACCAGCTACTTTGGTAAATCATACGTTCTTTTCCATTGTCCCTCTTGCCTTCGATATACCCTGTGAGTGTAGATTTTCCAAGCACTCTTTTCTCATCATGAACTCTAGAAATTTCAAATATCTTTTCCTGATTTTAAGTATAATTGTCCTTTTTGTTTCCATGTTGCTCAAGTGTCTAGCCTATGGTATTCTCAGCATTCTCCTGTAGAAGCACATTTCTGTTGCCTCAAATCCCTTCTTCATCTGCGAGGAGAATGCCCAGCATTCACAGCCATATTAGCAGGACTGATATTACGTAAAAGTTCAGTACTCTTTTCTTTGTTTATAACGATAGTTCTGTTTCTGAATACTCTACTCAGCTTTTGAAAGGCTATCTCCCAAATTAGAATGGAATGATTATATCAATCCTTTTTCTATTCATAATCATCTTTCATTTGATTGGATTTGGTAAAAAAAAAAGAGAACTTTTATCGCAAGTTTGTTTTCTACATCAGAAATCTCTTTAGGAAATTAGCTTTCGAATAGCGAATCGCATTAACCGATAAGCCTTATGTAATTACTGCTCCAGGTTTTATTAAAGAAAAAAAATCCTTATAGAATAGACAGAGGAAATAAGTACTTTATCAAGCTATGGCTTGCAAGACATTAAAGATGTCGCTTTATAATGCTAACGAATAAACGTTGACATAAACGTGAATTTGCTGTAAGTTTATGGTGCCGTTATATAGTGAGGAGGTGTATGGCAGATTTGTGATAGAAAAACACATGTTTATTTTTTACCAGACAGACAATACGCTTGAAACGAAACAGAGCAAGATCAGTGAGCTTGACATGTCAGCCGCACCCTTGTGTTTAAGTGATCATGTTATCATTAGGAGAAACCTTAATCCGTTCAGAGACCTAGACGCTGGATTAATTTCAAATATTTTAAGGCGTTGTTACTGGATCATTCATTGATAGCCATTGTATAGCCATTCAGAATTTCTTAGTCTTAGAGTTTACTCCTGTACAATATAGTTCCCAGACTTGCGTGAACGCGCATACACACACAATCTATCTATCTATCTATCTATCTATCTATCTATCTATCTATCTATCTATCTATCTGTTTCAGTCTCTTTATATCTATCTCTGTTCACATCTATCTATCTATCTATCTATCTATCTATCTATCTATCTCAGTTTGTTCATGTCTATCTATCTATCTATCTATCTATCTATCTATCTATCTATCTATTTGTTTCAGTCTCTTGATATCTATCTCTGTTCACATCTATCTATCTATCTATCTATCTATCTCAGTTTGTTCATATCTATCTATCTATCTATCTATCTATCTATCTATCTATCTATCTATCTATCTATTTGTTTCAGTCTCTTTATATCTATCTCTGTTCACATCTATCTATCTATCTATCTATCTATCTATCTATCTATCTATCTCTGTTTATATCTATCTATCTATCTATTTGTTTCAGTCTCTTTATATCTATCTCTGTTCACGTCTATCTATCTATCTATCTATCTATCTATCTATCTATCTATCTATCTCAGTCTCTTTATATCTATCTATCTCTCTATGGATCTATCTCAGTTTGTTCATATCTATCTAACTCAGTTTGTTCTTATCTATCTATATATCTATCTATTTATTTCAGTCCGTTTATATTTATCTATCTCATTCTTTTCCTATCTATCTATCTATCTATCTATCTATCTATCTATCTATCTATCTATCGACTTGAGATCTCAAGTATGGATTAACGGCTTGAGTGATTAACTTGCTGACACAGCTCCATTGTAAGTAACACAGAAAAAATAATTTTTAATCATTACATGTCCGAAGATGACAAGTTAAAATCCCACTCACTATTGTATTACCGGTCTTCTCAGCTTGTTCGTTAAATATTGCTTCACATCGAGATAATCCTAAGCCTGTAATGACAGTAGAGCATCTAGCAAAGGTAGGCATCAATACAAAGTCGGATTAGCATACCAGTAATAGCGTAACGTCCAGGATATCTTTGCACAAAACCTCAATAGTGGGAGACAATAAGAGACGAAGTGATCTATGACAGGCGCTTAGTAATTGTTACGTCAGTGCAGTCTACTTGTCATTTATTTCTAGTGTTAAAGCAGAGGTAAAATCTAAACTTTCGCTTTTGATCTTTACGTCAAGGCACCCTTTCACCATTTGTAAGAGGAGTGCTGTACAATATTGCAACCACTGTTTGGTGGATAAGAATGATCTGGAACAGAATATCAACGTCTTCTACCAAATGTTCCAAGACTCAGAATGACATTTTCAAAACAGAAACTGTAATGTGGTATTTGGATAAAAGCAATTATGGCACATACTCTAAATCCATCATAAAAATTCAGTATATGGAATTAGTAAAGACCAAACACGTTCGCTTATCGTTCGGTTGACACACTTCTACGGTCTTTTGGACAGGAGTAGTGGTTTATCCCTTGTATCCTGTTTAGGATTGGATTTCCGGTTCCTTTCAAAGTCTTCTTTAGTTCTGTACTCCTAAAGCTTGTCCTTTCTTAAGCTAATCTTACGCAGTAACCTTTACCTTGAGTGGCTCTGGGCCTCATATTAGATGAACATGAGAAAAAAAATTCAAATGCATCGGCATTTGAATCAGTTATAACAAATTTAGTATAGAAGAAAAGTAAAGTAAATATAGAACAGGTTGTGCTAAAGATAGTTTCGCCCAACACCGCACATTGATACAAAACTAAAACATCAAACTGAAACTTCGAGTCATATTCTTAAATTCCAACGTCAAATCGAGACTTTCATATGGATGTCATGCATGGCACAAAACCTGTTCAGAAATTCAAAAAATATCTAAAGTTTCAGCTGTATTCAGCTGTGTATATATATGTATATATATATATATATATATATATATATATATATATATATATATATATATATATATGGGAGGGATTAGAAATATATCATACATGTTCACTTATCTTATGACTGTACCTAATCGAAGTTTCGATGAAATAAGTCTAATCTTCAGGAGACTTGATATATATTAATAATTGTGTATATATATATATATATATATATATATATATATATATATATATATATAAAAAATATAGATGTGCTATATTTATGGGATAAAGTGCTCAATATCAGAGATAGAGCGTGTGTAAATATAAAGTTTCATGCTATGTGCAATCGTGGCCTGATGATTGCATCTAGCATGAAACAGACTGTCGCCCTAAGTGTTGATTCTATGTTCACTTATATATATATATATATATATATATATATATATATATATATATATATATATATAGTTAGATTTCCCAGAACAATTCTGAAAATAAGACAAATTGGTTTAAAAATGACGATTGTAAAAATTCTTAGTTCTCGCCGATACGTTTCACCTTCCGACTTTATCAAGACAATCAATGAAAGAAAGAGGCTTACGCAAAAGAGTCTCTTTTTAAAATTTTTGATTTGATATAACTATGGTTACAAAATATTTCGATTTCATTGCTTGCCTTGATAAAGTCGAAATGCATCGGCAAAAAATAAGATTTTATTCCAATTTTTATACCTATATATATGTATTTATATATATATATATAATCATTTAACCTCAATCAAGGTAATAAAGCCACTAAAACGCAAGGAGTTATAAATGGGTTTGCGTGTGGGTGTATTGTGTTTCAGATATTTTAATGGAAACAAGTGTTGAAATCTGGACCACAAAAAGACCACACTGAAGATCACAAAATCTGAGAGGCGAATGTAAATGAAACAATACCCAGCCGCAGTCACGAAATTTTTCACCATTTTAAATGTACTGACATGTGCCTTGAAATAAAACCCAGCAATGAACGACCATCACTTATCGTTTATGATGCTGCTAAAGGCACAAGAGAATCCTTGCAGTAGTATGCAAAAACCTTCTGAAGAGGTTTGATCATCGAAAATGTTATTTTTAGCACATTGCTGAAAACACGAGAGATACAATGGAGATATTAAAACATTTAAATTATATTTTAATTTATCACTATTATTAAATGAAGATCCCAACTCAAGATGCCGTCTCTTGATAGCGGTAAGAGTAAAATAATAAAATGAATGTCTGCTGTAATAGCAAAAGAAATATGGTCATTTGTTGAGTCGAATGTGGGTAACTCCCACAAAAAAATCATGTGCTATATTTACTTCAGTTGAAGGTAAAAATAGATATCTACAATAGTTTAAAATTTCTAAAAGTGAGGCTGTTTTAGAACGTGTTTCCGGGGTTTATTGGGGATAGAAGTAGAGAGGTTAGAGATTTAACTTCAGTGCAGCCAACCGACTGACTGCCTTTTGTATTTCGCACTTTTTTTCTTACAGAGTTAGCAGTCCAGAGAAATGTTTTCCTTGAATGAAATGCTGTTGCTCTCACTTTTAGCTTGAAACAAGCCTTGAAACCGCTCATCGTTTTGTCGCGTGGCCCATGAAATGATATAAATGCTGACATATGAGGGAGTGTTCAAAAACTTTCACCACACCCTTGTACACATATACTTGTGGAAAGTACGACCATAAAACGGCTAAAAATAATGAAAGCAGTAATAATGAATGAAAGAACAGCACTCAATAATATCTTCTATGAACGTGCTGGCCATGTTTGAAAAAAATGTCCGTATAAAAATCTACATATTCAGTTTAAAAGAAAAAAAAAAGACAGCATCCTCGATAATGGCTAATAGAATAGCAAAAAGCGATGGGATACATTTTTCCACACTTTATGTCCAGAAAAGAAAACACTTGTATGAATGTATGAAAAACTGAATAAAAAGCTTAAAAAACCTTGTTAGTCTTCTTTAATGAAACTTTTTAAAAAGAGTGATTGCTGTCCAAATACAACATTCTGATGAGTCCCTATTATAGGACGAAACGGCCGTCCAGTGCTTCCTCTATTCCTATTGAGGTTTCTATCAGACTCAATGAATTAATTAAATATAATTATCAAATCCTCCTACTAATTACTATCTGCGTTTATCATCGCTTGAACCGGCTTCTAATGCTCCAGTTGGCGCGGCTTGGTGAGAGTAGTCGTGGCTCCCGGGGGAACAGTCCTATGGTTACAGAGAACTCAGTAGAGTTCCGCCACGGAATATGTGAGCGAGCGGCGCTAAGTTGAGTCTGATTTGGAATCTCATCGTTACCGAGGCCCATTTGGTACAGTTGGTATGATGTTCGCTTGACAACCCAACTGTCAGGGTTTCGATACTTGGTGGTGGATGCGCAGTGCTGATGAGTCCCAATTATAGGACAAATCGGCCGTCCAGTGCTTCCTCTATTCCTGTTGAGGTTTCTATTCAGACTCAATGAATTAATTAAATATATATATATATATATATATATATATAGAGGTAACTATACTCGTTTCGAAAAACCTTCGAATTTTTGATTTGCCAATAATCAAATCAATCTCGAAGGAAAAAAAGGTTTTAAAAAAAGAAAGAGCTAGAAACATGAAAGTCTGTCGAAAAAAATCGCACAGATACAGGTTTAAAGCCCAAAGAAAAAACCCCGACACGAGTAAACAATTAACTAACAAAAGAGCTCAATACAACCGTAGAGCAGACCTAGATAAACCTAGTGAGCCAGACAAACCTACCCAGGTTTCACATAAGCGGATCGTCAGGGAAAGCTGGCTAAAAACGATCCGCTTAGGTGAAACCTGGGTAGGTTTGTCTGGCTCACTAGGTTTATCTATCTATCTATCTCTCTCTCTCTCTCTCTCTCTCTCTATATATATATATATATATATATATATATATATATATTCGGCGTTCGAATTCCAGCTGAGTTCATTACATTTAGTTACGTACTAATACCCTTCGGAAAGGTATGAATCCATCTCTTTTTCACCCAGCTATGGGTAAATAGCAGGAGAGATGGGGTTCTATAGACTTCGGTGGCAACCGAACCAGGAGAAGGAAAACAGAGTCCAAATCTGTATATAATCCCGGCGAAGCACATACTATGCAGCTAAGGAAAGGATCGTTCGTATTGACTGGATGATCCCGATTACGGCCGGCACCAACACACACACACACACACACAAACACACACACACACACACACACACACACACACACACACACACACACACACACACACACACACACACACAAACACCACACACACGCACACAAACACCACACACACACACACACGCACACACACACACACACACACACCACACACACAAACACAACACACACACACACACACACACACACACACACACACACACACACACACACACACAGACATTTTGATTTTCAAGGAGATATTTTAGTATTATCGGCTTGAGGAGATCCTAGAAGCGCCTGACAACCATACCAGATTATTCTCTCTCTCTCTCTCTCTCTCTCTCTCTCTCTCCACAAACTGTGACTAAGGTCTGCTCATTTACATTTGCAGTATAAACCTCAGGTGGATTATATGGGTGTCGATCGGACACAAACTGGCCATCAGATAGAGAGAGAGACAGAGAGAGAGAGGTTGGTACATCTATGATCTGGTATATATATATATATATATATATATATATATATAGAGAGAGAGAGAGAAAGAAAGAAAGAAAGAGAGTCAGATGGAAACATTTGAGTGTCCCGAGCGTTTCATAATTTCCAATGGAATGCAGAGACAATGTCAGTGCACAGGTAAAAATATTTTAATGTCAGGTGGCTCTTCCCACTTCAATGCAATTACCTCTCCCCATAATTTTGCTCAAGGGGCCCACTGCAGTTAGAGTGAGCTGGTCCAATCCAGAAAGAAAAACACAGATCACCACTGGCCAAGTTCACTGGCCAGACTGCTGCCCATCTCTGACCCCCCGCACGACTCAGCTTGTCCTTTTTTCTTATTTTGCATGTCTCGGAGGTAACTTAATTAACATTATAGAGCTAGTTAGTTAGCCCACCATGATGTTATAATAGGCAGGTTCTTTCGCATTAAAAGGAGGATAAGCAAACTTCCTCTGAAAAAAAAATCCTCGTGTAGAGATTTTGTGAGTCCTGATTACAAAGGGGGAAATAAAAAATATTATATAACTGATCCTGACCAGGCACTCGACCTCAGTGACTTTCTCACTTGATTCTTCTGTCTTTTCTACGAATATTTTCATGGCAATTGATGAGATTTTTATGAACTATTCTCATTGGTGTCTCGACTGAATGAATATAAGTCTGCCACTAGATTTGCAACAAGGTCTCAATATTTTACTGTTGAATTATCGCGATGTAAATGTATGTTCTATTCTAATAGTTTCTTTTCTTGTATTTCTCGCTTTCAGAACTTCCTTCTGATTTCTGGATTCCCAGCCACCTACAATTTTGAAAAAAAATAAATACAACGTCAATCGCCATCTTCTGTCTTCCTTGAACCTGTTCTTTTTTCCCCTTCTCTCCACTTCTCACAAAATTCCTCTTTTACTCCCAGTAATCCCATAGGCACGGTGGGGTAATGGATAGAGTTTCAGATTGAGGAATCGGAGAGCCGAGTTGGAATTCCAGTGGAATCCATTACATTCACTTACGTGCTAATACCCTTGGGAAAGATATGAATCCATTTCTTCTCCCTCCAGCTGTGAGTAAATAGCAGGACAGACCGAGTTCTATAGCGTTGGATGGCAAATGGAAAAATAAAATGGCAACCTACTGCGGAAAAAATCTGCCTCGTCAGTCTTGTATCGAAGATACATGATCGCCTAAACGTGTATCACGTATGGCACATAACTGACTGAATCTCATGCGTCCTGGCTTGGAGTGAAATGATTAAAAAAATATTAAATAAAGCGGATACAACGTGCATGAAAGCCAGTGACATTCTTTTTCAGACAATTCAATAATTGACAACATTCCAAACTAGAATAGACTTTTGAGGGAGACAAAAAGGTTCCCTGTCGATATATTTTGTTATAAAGTTCATTTAACGTCTATAGTTCTTGTTAATAATGCTACAAGGAAACACTGGTACAAAATGTGTCAGGAATAGATTTAATCACATGAGAGACATAGATTAATAATTTAGCCATAGATAATAACGTAGTTCCGTTCAGCAATGCGTACTATTCAACCACTACGACATGCAAACCACTTTGCGACGACCGTTCCAATGAGCAGACGTTCTACTCAGAGCAGATAGATGAGACTATGTTCCACTGTTAGGGTAGAGATGGTCGATCGCCTTTCTATTCAAAAGCTTTTGAAACACGATTAAACGAGGAAATTCGTCCGATGATAGGCAATAACTTTGACGAGGAAAGCTGACAAGCGAAGCTGACACGAGAAATGGGAGATTAATTTTTTTGAAATTTTCTCCAAAGGGACAAACGTGTCAGCTTCGTTAAAATGATAAAAAGAAAATGAACAAACTAGAATTAAGGGATCAGATTGCTTCCTCTGTGATTTTTTTAGCGTCGGTAATATTTATTTAATGGCTGGCAGAGCAAGGACAAAGAGGAGTGGTGAAGGGTTAAATTTACTTAGAGCAATAAATGACAGGAAGTTGTGGAAAGCCATGATCTACCACATCCTGAAAGTATATATCATATAAAAGAAGAATATTTACTGGGGGAGTACCTACACGGAAATTGCAACCGGCGAACTGGGTTTAAATTTCAGCTTATATAGTTAGTGTTCATTTCACACTATTGCCCTTGGGAAAGGTATGCCTTCAGCACACCATATAGGCCAAGATCTGCTTCAGTTTAAAGACAACCCAGTACAATTTGTGATAGTTTATTTGGTGTTTAGATGGGCACCTCTAAGTAACCCCTATTGACCCTTGAAATGGTAAGAGAATCCCAGCATGGGATCTTGACAATTTACGAGGTCGTAGAGTAATTTAATTTCTTGAAGTTATACTCAACTTGTCATTGTAATTCAGAACTTCCCAAACTTTTAATGACATCTTCATTGAATCTTTGATTCCTCATATATCTTCAGGCATGGGGCCCCTCGGCATGGTGTAATGGTTAGAAAACTTGTCTCGCTAGATCAGTTATAACTGAAAAGTGAGTTCGATCCTCACTAGATGCCCCATACTTTCGGCCTTGGAAAAATGCTATATCTCCAGGCATGTGTAACAATAAATATTAATAATTATTATTTTTAAAAGTGGAAATTATTTTACCCTTTTCCTTACAGTTTCTTGATAAGATTAATGTTAACTTTACGTTTTGCTATTAATTTTTCAATTTCTGTTTCTCTTAATATATAAAACGTATTTTTTTCAATAATAATAATATTGTTCACACAAATGCAGCTCATAACTTACGAAGCGCTTTTTCTATGTAAACTGTGTGTGCTTTTAGATCTTTTATTTTATTTTATTTTTTTTCAAAAATGTGCAGTGAAAATGTTATGATGCCATTTTTGACCTTATATCTCTGGTTGGGACCCGAAAAGAAAGGAGTATAGAACAAAAACCAAAGGAAATAATAATAATATTAATAACCGACTGCAGCTGCAAAATATTTAAAAAAAAAAAAAAAGGAGAAGAAAGCAAAGGCAAATACAACCGACAGAGATGCAGGAATGATGGCAAGATAAATTGCTTCACGGTCAATACTCTGCCCCTACCAAACAAGATAATGTAGACAAACCCCGTACGCATTAGTATCTACGTAGTGCAGAGTTAATAGCTGAAACTGAAGGTTTTATTCTTTGCCGCACAGGACCAATTCTTGCTAACTAGAAATTACTAAGCAAACACACTGAAAAATTGTGTTAACCCAAAATGCCGATCCTGTGATAAATACCCGGAAAACAATTGACCATATTATACCATATTGCGCGATATTGACACCCACTAAATATACAACCCGGCATGACAGAGTTGGCTAATATCTACACTGCAAAATCTGCAACTTTTCGTTGTCATCGTCGGCTCCCAGTCGTGTCCGAGTATCGGGTTCTGTCAATCTTTTAAGTCCTATCTTCACGGTTGATGTTTATGTTTGACATGACTTGCGAGGCCCAGTCGGTGGTAGAATCGTCGCGAACAGTGCTCACAGGGGAGGGGAGGGGGAGGACGAGGGTCGTTAAGGAAAGGAAAATGCAACAAAAAATTGGTATGAACACCCTCCAGACCCGGTGACGGAAATAGAACCTGTAAGAATTTTATTTATACATTAATTTAATAAATAACAAAAGGCAAACGGAATATAAAAAACATTGGGGAAAATTAAGCAAGGCCTGACACATGGCTATATGTATGGAGCGCCCGGCGATAAATAGGTATATCAAACTTAGTTCGTAGCAAGTCGTTAAGTATCTCTCACTAATGCGTCGTTCGAGTTCTGATAAAGATCATGACTTCGAATAACGATTTTCAAGGTAAACACTTGAATAATTGGCGCTTCAAAATCTTCCTTACTTTCCCCTCCTCAGATTTGGGCATTATTTCGTGCGAACTTTAATAAGCATCGCTAGTGTCTTACCAGAAGCCTGTGTTCAAACCCATATAAATATCTTAGAACGCTGATTGACAAAAGACGACAGCCTTCTCTATTGACTGGTGCAAAACAATCTTCCTACTCGCATTTCCATCCTATTTTACTTCTGTGTTGAACTAGTCTTAGATTAATGACAATTATTGTCTCTTGGACCTAAAGTCTATGCCATTCTTATCAAAACCAGAGGTCGGTGTTCGAATCCTGCTAACGGCAAAGATTTTGAATGTTGATTTTCAAAACAAGAAATTATTGTGCAAATTTATCCTGTAATGGTTTTAAACTTTCAATAGTTTAAGTGAACGTCTGTCAAAATCTCAGACAGCAAAGTACTATTTGCTGTGTGAAAGATTATTTTCTAATTTTCATTTTTTACAATGTCATCATGCGTTTCCGATGTTATCAAGGTGTTTCTGAAGAGTCATTGGAAAGTGTAGTGCCTGTCTTCAATTAGAAGACAGACACTATGCACCAGATCTCTTATCCCTCCCACGCATTAAGTCGTAGGAAGTTAAGCTTAGTGAATGACAAGAATGTCTTACGAGATTGATTTAAAACATGTCCTCATGTGACAAGAGTCTTTAAGTTCACGAGGTCGCGAGGAATAGATGTCTGAAAGCGATTTTATTGGCGTTTGCAAGGTTATGGTTAACAACCGGAACCGGTTAATTATTCAAATTAAGAGGGGAAGAACTTAATGAATTCTTAGAGGACTAACCACTTAGGAAGAGCTTTGTTGTTGGCCAAAGCTTGACTTCAATGACGCACCCGACGATGAGCGATTTGTCAGTCAGTCAGTCTAATACCGTCTTGTACAAAATACGTATTGCAGTATGCAAGTGTCCCGAGAAACTACTCAGTCTAACCTGTGTGTGTTTTTCGAAAGCCAGTTACTTGTTTAAAATAAAACAATGCTAAACTGTTACGTAATATCAGTCCTTCATTTATGGCAGTCAGTGCTTGACAATTTCTTCACAGATGAAGAAGAGATTTGAAGTAACAGAAATATGGTTCTACTGAAGGATACTGAGAATATCATGGTACGAACATGTAAGCAATGACAAAGTTTTTGAGAAAATGGAAACAAAAAAGAGACTTATAATCAACATCAGGAATAGACAGATAAAATTTCTAGCACACATAATGAGGAAGGAAGGCTTTGAAAATTTAATATTCACAAGGTCGATTGAAGACAAGAGGAACAGAGGAAAACAACGCATAACATATGTAGCGTGCTTGAGAAAATGGATGGCAGAACAGGGTTTAGGAGAGTTAACCAAAAGACAAAAAATTATTTAGACGTACAAAGGACAGGAAATAGGGGAGAGTCATGATCGCCAACGTTCTGAAGAAACGCGTTACGGAGAAGACGAAATTCGTTTGGGTACAAACCCACCAGTAATGAGCACAGTAAAAATGAATCCACAGCAATTGCAGGAAAGGCTTACTAGTAACTGTTTCACGTGTGTGTGTGTGTGTGTGAGAGAGAGAGAGAGAGAGAGCGAGTGAGTGATTGAGTGAGTGAGTGAGTGAGTGAGTGAGTGAGTGTAATTTATTAAATTACAAACACGTATGCCTGTATTTAAAAGGAATTTGATTGGAGAGTCTAAATGTTTTGAAATGTGCGCAAACCACTGAATCAAGACGAAAAGACGAGACGCCGCATTCAAATATGAAAAATATTCTGAAATAAAGAGGACCTTTTTACGTCACTTTTCTAATAAGGCAAAGTAAAAAGTTGTCAAGTTATCTACTATTTCCATAGCATTTATTTCGTTTCTTCTTGCACTGGTAAATAGAAATGAATACAGAAAGTTTTACCAAATAAGAGTTGGATAGTTTTTAAGACCTACATTAATCCTCGACAATA